TTACTTTGAATTTATATTAGTTCACACAAACACTCCACCCATGCTTTTGTTCCGGCCCTCCGGTCCAGTTTAAGAACCCATTGTGGCCCTCAAGTCAAAAAGTTTGCCCACCCCTGGACTAGAGTCTAAGTCAGATCATGTCATTTTCCTGCTTCAAGATCACTAATAACTTTCTATTTAACTTTGAATAAAAGCCACATTTCCTGTCATGGCTCATAAACAACCATGGCCCTGCTACTGCTAGCCTCCTTCTGTGAGGACCTCACTCTTCTTCCTCAGTGACCAACTTATTTCCTTGGGACCTGCCTCAGGGCCTTCGCACAGACTGTTCCCTGGGTCAAAGCTGCAGTGTTTTCTTCATCCTCATTGGCCTTCGCTGACCCTCTGATCTGTGTCGGGTCCTGCTGCCTTGTTTCCTCCATAATAATGATCACAATTCATAATTATTAAGCTATTTGTTTACTTATAATTCTGACTCCTTTATGAGAATATAAGTTCTGGGGGTACAGCGACCAGGATTGATTTATTTGCCGGAATGTTCTTAGGCAGCACCTGGCACGGTGCCTTGAATGTGGTAGGTGCTCGGTAACATGTGCGTAATGGGGGTGGAGCCCATGGTGTCTTCCTGGATATGGTTTGTGGTGGTTCTCTGTTTCGGTGGCTCTCTGGGTTTCCGGTTTCCCTTGCCTGGATCTCAACTCACTCGCACCCACTTTCATATAATACTCCTGTCAGATTTAAACAGGTTTAACCTTGTTTTCTTCCACTAAGTCATCATGAAAACTATGCTTATAAGAATCTAGTCCACCTTTAAAAAGTTGTAGGTGCCGCAGCTAGTACTGAAAAGTAAGATCTCATCATTGCTCTTGCGTAGTGCCTGCAATTACTGGCCATCTGTGGAGGAATAGTCTGCCTAGTTGGGATCCCTCCCAGCTCAGATGGAGGCACTGGCACGGCTCCCTCCCGACTACACAAGCCGTGTGTTCCCTGTGCACCCGCGGTGTGGCTTGTGCATCCCTCAGTGGTCACTTGCTGACCGTCCCCTGGCCGGCGAGCCTGTCTCAGAGGAATGTGCACGCCAAGAGCTGGCCAGGTGGCTGCTCAGGCTGATCCGCAGGCAGGAGTGGAACCTGTGCCCTGGGAGTGATCTCGGCTTGGAGGCGACCAGGCCTGGCAGCTTCCGGGCAGGAAGAGGGCTGCTGGCTCCCTCTGGAAAGGCTGCTCGTCATGCGGTGACCGGAGGAGGCTGCATGTCGGTGACGTGTTCCTGCTCAGTTTGCTCTGAAGACACCGCCTCCGAGTTCTCGTGGTCTTGTTTGTTAGTTGTGTTTCACATTTTCTCTCTTTCTCCTCTTCCAGTCGATTTCGGAGTGAGTGCTCAGTTGGACAGGACTGTGGGGAGGAGAAATACCTTCATAGGCACCCCCTACTGGATGGCGCCTGAGGTCATCGCCTGCGACGAGAACCCGGATGCCACCTATGACTACAGAGTAAGAGGCGCCTGCTCGCGTGGCTCACTGGGTCCCTGCTGTTCCTTGAGGGACAGGCCCTGCTGACGCACCGCCCACCCTCATCCTGCCTGCTCCCTCGGGGAAGGTGCCTGGGACCCCTGTGCGGGTGTAGCACTGTCAGCACAGCGTTTCAGCGGTTCTCAACCTGTGGGTCGCGACCATCGGAAAACACATATAGCATATCAGATATTTACATTACGATTCATAACTAGCAAAATTACAGTTATGAAGTAGCAACGAAAATAATTTTATGGTTGGGGGTCACCACAACATGAGGAACTGTATTAAAGGGTCGCAGCATTAGGAAGGTTGAGAACCACTGGAGATGCTGCCTTCTCGTGTCCATTCTGCACCATCACCGGTCTTCTTACTAAGGAACAAACTGCCTCCAGGGCAGCCTGGGCCACTGGGCGGATCCTGTGACAGAGCTCCACCTTTTATCAGGTCACAGTGTATTTGCATGACTGCAGTGCCTCCAGGCACGTGGCTCAGCCGTGCACGTCCTGATCCTGACGGAGAACCACATTTGACCCTCAGACTTGGGTTGAATATATTAACCCAAACAAGTTTTTAAAAAGTCCCCTGGCCTTATCTAACAAGTCGGAGTGGTTAATGTACCTGTTTAATAACATTCAGAATTGAGTTCACGTCATAACACTGTCCATTTCCACAGTATCTATATATAAAAAGGCCTATGCAACCATTAGTCGACCGGTTGCTATGACGCACACTGACCACCAGGGGGCAGATGCTCAGCACAGGAGCTGCCCCTTGGTGGTCAGTGCGCTCCTACAGCCAACCTCCCACGGTCACTCCCCCCGGCCAGCTCCAATCAGTCCCAATCGCTGGCCAGGCTGAGGGACCCTGCCCGTGCATGAATTCGTGCACCGGGCCTCTAGTTTATTATAAATACCCAATTAACGAAATTTAATTTAAGCTTATGGTGTAGAGGAATATGCATTTTATTTTTTTATTTGCTGAAGTATTTTCAAATAGATTATAGATTCTATGACTTTTCACTCTTTAATACATCATTCTGAACCTGCAAAATTTGCAAACATTTTCCAGTATTTTCATACATAAGTAAATTAAAAATAATTTTTAAAGACAAAACCCGTAGTTAGACCCAGCTGATCACCTGGATTAGCAAGGTTGGCTCGGAGGAGAGGTGGTTGGCTCCGCCACACTGGGCATGGGCCTGCTGCGGAGGTGGTCCCAGGTCCAGGTGCTGCACCCTCCCTTGCTCCCTGCAGTACGGAAACCTCCATGGAACCAAGGAGAGCTGTGTGGGCCTCTCCTTAGTCCTCTGATCAAACATACGTGTTTGCACTCTAAGTAATTACAGTAAAACCATGAAACTGAACAACTTTAATGATTCCCATGTTATGAGAGCATATAAACAAAAGAATGCTAATGATAGCAATCCTTCGTTAATTACTGTAAAAGCCTTATTTGGATTTTGAGAAATTGGCTGATGAACCTTTATTCATTCATCATCCATTGTTTATGGAGTGCCTACCACATGCCAGTCACAATTCCAGGGACACAGAGGTGAATGAAACAGATGAAAATGCTTGTCCTCGTGGAGAACAAAGTTAAAATTCAGCTTCTAAAACTAAGAAAAGATTCCATGCACAGAAAGCCCTTGACTTTAGTGCTCACTCCTTAGGAGTAGGCAGGGCGGGCGGGGCCTGGGGGGTGACTCTGACAGTGGCCACAGTGTTTCCTCCGTAGGGGCAGGGCCTCACACAGAGCCCTCCGGCCGTTCACTGCTTAGCACCCTCGTGAAGTTTGAGAGGTAAACGTAAAAGGAGGCATATATTAGGGCCAGGGATCTAAACGATCTAATGCTCATAGAGAAATGAAACACTGAGCAGAAGAGCAGGCCGCGGGCCGGGGGGGTGCTTGCCCAGGCACCACCTCCACTCCCTCGTAGACACGAGTGGTTCTAATGAACAAATCACTTTCATCTTTATCTTACTCATTTGAAAGGTATTATCACAATTGTGTGTGTGCTTTTAACTTCCTGAGAGTTTTTCCATTTATACACCAGAGAATGCATTTGTCCCATTTGTGTGAGTAAACAGCTGTGTTAGCTGGGGGCCTCGTGTCTGTAATGCTGCGCATGACGTGCTGTTCTGTTTTGCAGAGTGACCTTTGGTCCTGTGGCATCACCGCCATCGAGATGGCAGAAGGTGCTCCCCGTAAGTAGCGTTCTCTGTAGCCCAGTCGTTACCTGTAATGTACACCTAGCTCTGAGTCTCACAAAGAACAGCTTCGTGGATAGAGCCATTCCTGGGGGGGCCCTCGATGAAGGGCCCTGAGCGCAGTGAAGCTTTAGGTTGAGAGGAGCCAGTGGGACCCACTATTCCCTTTGGAGATGTGGGTGAGCTCCGTAGGCTCCTCTGTCCTTTACTGGAGGTGGGCTCAGATACGGGCCTGAGACTCCGGTGAGTGGCCTCAGGTGACAGGCAGTGATTTTTCTGTATTCAGTGAAACTCGTCCTAACACAGGGAGCTTAAGTATTGTGTGTGTGTTGACTTTACAACTAGAGGCAAGACTTTTTATCTGTAGAGTAGCATTTTGTATTACCTATGAACTTCTGCTTTGGATTAAATCAGTGACAATTTCATTTAACTGATTTTTGATCAGGGATGTGGTAGAATTGCAGAGAACAGGAAAAAATAGCATTTTCTGCTGGTTCCCCTAATAAAAAAGTATACACAAAGAATGCATAACTGTCTGGTAACTGGTTGTTGCTGAGTAAATTTTTGTTGAATGAATGAAAAAAATTGCCAACAACTAAGGATTAGTTTGCAGTACAGAAATGGGTATCTGTTGTGAACACCATGTGTCCCTCGTGTTTCCTCCTGAGTGACTGGCATTGCCTGGCCCTGCCTCAGTTCCTTTCTCAGTGGGGATGGGGTTGTCTTTTTTGGCCCCCATTTCCCAGCTGCCTTGTAAGAGTCTCATGAAGGTAAATAACACATGAAAGTGCCCATGGCCCTTGTGCATAGAATTGGGTACCTAACGGGCCTTCATTGGGCGAGTGGTAGGCGTGCAAACAGTAACTTCACAGACTTAAACAATTCCCTTTGACCCAACAGGCGTGCCAGGTCATGTCGCACCAGCGTGTCCCTGAGCGGGCGGCCTCTCGGGAGGGCTGGCCTGTGAGCCTTCACGAGCAGCGTCTGATACTCCCACAGCAATCCAAAGAATTAAACTTATTTCCATTGTCAGCTTGTAGATGACTTAGGAACTTAAGCTATTGAGTCTTTGAACACTTTGAATCAATATTTATCTTTGATTCATGAAAACTTTTCAGTGTCTTTTTGAAATTGTATATTCTTCTTGTGCTGGTCCTCCTCATATTTTGCTGTGTTTAAATGGGGAATTCAGGGTTTGCCCTAGGGCTCATAGCTACAAGTCCGGCCTGCTTGACACAAGAAAGCATATCAGAGGACGGGCCCGAGCGTCTGGTGTTTGAGTGAGCCCTAGAGTTCAAGAATGAGTAAAATAAGTGCCATACTGACACGACCGTCTCCTCTCCCCAGCTCTCTGTGACATGCATCCAATGAGAGCACTGTTTCTCATTCCCAGAAACCCTCCTCCCCGGCTGAAGTCAAAAAAATGGTAAGCTACAAACGGTTTTGTTGTTGTTGTTCTTTTCTTTTAAGAAAAATTGTTCCTTTTTAGTTTTACTCCAAGGCAAAGTTCTGGCCATTCTAATCCCCAAAGAGCCAGCGCCAGTGCCCCAGACACCAGTTACATGGATCTTTTTGTTCTGTTTATTTTCCTCGATAGATTCTCTTTGTGTTACGAAATAGTGACAAGTGGCCATATGAAACACTGTAACACGGTTAAGAAAAACGTCCCATTTTAATATTTCAACACACTTCTAAGTTTGATATATTTCTGAACATTTTTGCAGTAAAAAGCAAAGCTGAATGGACTTACAGTTCCTCAGGTGAAATGGGATGTTAGCATTAACGGTGCCATTTACTGTTATCGTTGCAAAACATGGACGTCAGGCGTCTTTCTTCATCCCAGAGCTCTGCTGCCTGTTTCTCCCTGCAGCTCATTTATTTGCTAAAGAAAATGTGTATTCTTGGAGAGCGGCATGCCCTTTCTGAGAGCTGTGCGACCGCGGTGTGGGCTGCTGGTGTGGTGCCATGTTAATGTCGCCAAGGGAGCGCACGCTTGTTGTCTGAGCACGTTGCCCGCTCGCTCCCGCCTGAAGTGTGAGCCCTCTCGCTCAGTCCCCTTTGCGCTGTCCATCCCACTGTGCTCGGCTAATTGGTTTGTTCCTTTCTGGAACTATTTCCCAATTAGTGTTGTCCTCTTAGGTTCTTGACTCTAATTCTGAAATACGCAGAAGACCTCAGGGTTAAGTCTTTTATTCTGGATTCGGTCTTTCGCTGTTCCTGTCTGCTCTTTTCTTCTTGGTTGCTCATCTGATGTTCTGTGGCTTCCGTTTCCTGTCTGGCTGTGTCCATGCACACGTGTTTTCACTCCTGTTTCTTTTCTGCCCCTCACTGTCCCTTCCCCCAGCACATTTCACCACCCCTGCCCCACCTTTTGTTTGCAGGCAGTATTTTTCTATTCTTTATATACTGTCTTGAACCACATTCAACTCCAGAAAACTGGGGCGCTAGTTTGTAGAAAGGTGTTTAAGGCCATATACTTGTGAAGACTCTAGCCCCAATGGTCCCCTGTACTCAGACGTGATAACAGACCTCCGTGGGTGGCCAGCTGAGGGAGACCAGTGCCTCTCGTGGAGGTCAAGGAGGAAGGGGTCGGCTCACACACATCTGGCTTGTGCTGCACTAGGCGCTGTCACTTCTCCCTTTCCTTTTCTCTGTCAGATTTTATTAAGGAGAGTGTAGCTCCGTCTTCAGGGTGCCTCACAGTTTACAGGGCTTGTCATTCCTCAGTTTGGGGTCAACCACTACTATGTGCATAACACAGTGATGCAAAGGGACAGATGTGGATGACAACAAATTCTCCCTGAGAGTTCTTGCCCAAACATCCCCCTAAACTTGATTAGATGCCTGTTCAGCCACTGCTCCAATTTACCCACGTTTTCCAAAGCAACAAGATGGCGACAGACATAAGGCTCCTTCCTTCAGGGTTGCTGTCTTTCCACTACGTGTAAGTTCTTCTGTGTAGGGAGAAGTGGCTCCCAAAAGGTGATCACGAACTCTGCCAGCAGAATGTACTAGTCGATTTTAAAGGATTGACTGTAGACCATCGATTCCCACATGTTTATCCGTGGACATGGTATGACTTTGGAATCTTTGGCATCTTTTAGTTGAGGGCTCCAACCTCAAAATTCCTGGTTCATTAGGTCTGAGGAGTGACCCAGGTTTGTGTATTTTAATGAAGCCCCCAGGTGACCTGTGGGCGTGGGGTTTTCGAGTCACGGTGTCAGGGAGCTCCTCCCCAGCGGCTAGGACCCTCCCTGCTCCTCGAGCCCCACAGGATGAAGCAGCAGCCTCCTGCCTCGGGCCCTCTCTTAGCGGACCCCAGCCTATTTTTCTGTTCTTTTCCATGTTTCATACCAGCACTAGGAAAGGATTCATCATTCGTCACGGTTCTCTACCTGGGTTCACGCCATTCCCTTCTCTCTGGAATGATGGCTTTTCTCACGTACCTTGGATACCAGAGGTCCTGCTCTATGCTGTCCGACCCACTGAGCACCCACCCCTCTTCCCTGTGATGACACGTGCACACACACCTCCACTGTATTTCCTGTGCGCACTTCTCATAGAGCCGAGCATAAACCAGTGTCAGTTGTCGATCCATAAATATTTGTTGAATTGAAAAAAAAAACTAGTAAGTTTGAATGGAAATATAGGACAATAGAAGTGATTCTTAAAAGCAGTGAAGTAATGGGAAAGAATTGAACTAATTTTCTAATTTACATTTTTTAAACTGAATAACTCATTCATTCAACAAAAATTTATTGTGTCCTTACTGTGGCCTGCCATCCTCGGTGCCGGGCATGCTGACAGATGGAGACTAGGAGCCCGTGTCAGCGCCGTGCCTTCCCCACCGGCGGGGAGCAGGGCCATGGCGCAGTTCCTTCAGTGCAGATGCCCCGAAGAAGGGCTCCTTGCTGGGCACGTGGGGGGCTGCAGGGGAGGCTAACCCAGGAGGTGATGCCGGGCCAAGTCTCAGGAGGTGTGAAGGCCGAGGGTCTGGGCCATGACTCAGGCTGGGGGTCAGCATGAGCTAGGCCTCTCTCAGCAAAAACCCAAGTGGCTGGTCTGAGAAATGTTGGTGACAGAGTTACTTACCCCTTCAAACCATTGTTTCCAAAGCTGTACATTAGCATAAAGAGCGAATGACAATCCGTTTGAGACTGGGATTGGAATGTCACGTTAACACAGCAGTTCTCAACCTGTGGGTTGCGACCCCTTTGGCAGTTGAACGACCCTTTCACAGGGGTCGCCTAAGACCATCCTGCATATCAGATATTTACATGACGATTCATAACAGTAGCAATATTACAATTATGAAGTAGCAACGAAAATAATTTTATGGTTGGGTCCACAACATGAGGAACTGTATTTAAAGGGCCAGAAGGTTGAGAACCACTGCGTTAACAGGTTCAAGGGCCCCTGCCTCTGGTCACTTACTCGGCTCCTTCTCTTTTGTTTCTGTATTGTCCTTGTCTTCCAGGTTCCAGACATCCATCCTCCACCTACCTTCGTTTTAGCAAACCCTCCCCCGCCCCACCCCCCCACAACTAAGTGGTTAATAATGAGCATCATGAAATTCAAACCCAGTTACTTTAGATCAGCTCTGCATGAGGAGGTCTGTGCTTATTGCCAGTGATCTGGTCCAGCCCCTGGACGGTGGACGTCTGCTCCTGGTCCCGGTCCTGAGCCCCGTGTGTCTCCCCACGCCATGCCTGTGCGTTCCCAGGGCGCCTTGCTGTCCTGGGGCTCGTCTCTGCCCTCAGCTGATACGTCACTGATCTTTGGGAGTTTTGCTCTTTGTGGTAGACATTTGATGATCTTTTTTACTTTCTCTTACAGGTCAAAGAAATTTTTTAGTTTTATAGAAGGGTGCCTGGTGAAGAACTACATGCAGCGGCCCTCCACAGAGCAGCTCTTGAAACATCCTTTCATAAGGGACCAGCCAAATGAGAGGCAAGTTAGAATCCAGCTGAAGGACCACATAGACCGGACCAGGAAGAAGAGAGGAGAGAAAGGTATTAGACCTGTTTTTATTTCATCTTAAACATATATATTTTGCCAACTAGATAGGTTGCTCCTGCCCGCTGGGCTCTGCCCGCAGGCCCGCGAAGAGCCAGGTCCAGCAGCTGGGGCGGGCCCAGGGCCTGCAGGCCTCGCCATGCCAGCGTTCGGCTCGCCCAGCCTCCGAGAGGCAGTGCCGTGAGTGTGTGTGGCCGGGTGACCTTGTGGATGTGTATGCAGACGGACCTGCAGCTGCATGTGACGTAGGCGGAACCCATTTCAGTTCTCCGTCTGCATTTTTCTTACCAGGAAACTGGTTTTAAATGTATGTCTCTGGAAAAAAGTTAGAAATATATTTTTTGTGAAGAGACTTTGTTTATAAATCTCTTCAACCTTCCTGGTTTGGATTGCTCCGTCAAGGGAAATTGCTCACTGAAAGCCAGGTACTGACATTCAGGTCAGGGTCCAACCAAATGGACTGTTGCTTTTGGGGAAATGGCATAGAACCTGTGGAAGTGAAAATAAGTTATTCGTGTTGAAACTTAGTCTGGTCTAAGGAGAGCCAATTTTGTCTCCCTCTGCTGTATTGTTTCATCAATTTCTCCATGATTCCACCTTTATAACTGTGGGAACATTGATTTTGTTTTTTCTGCCATTAGTATCTACTTCCTGCTTCCCTTTCTGCCCCCAGCAGACTCTGCTGCACTTTAGGGGGATCCCCGAGCACTAACAATAAACATTTTATTATGTACATATACATCTATATACACACACACACACACACACACACACACACACATATCTTAAATCTTTATTGTTGAAAGTATTACATATGTCCCCTTTCTCCCCACATTGACCCCCTCCAGCCTATCCCTGCCCCCGCCTTAGTTTGGGCAGCGAAATCTCCTTTTTTTGAAATTCGGCATCAGTGTGGATTTTCTGAATTTTCTGACACTCTTGGGCCATTTTTCTTCTGTGTCCAGGGCTCTGGGCCTGTCCTGGCCCTGCTCCCTCGGCGGACATCCTGTGGGGGTGTCTTGGATGCACAGATCTGCTCTCGTGGGGGGAGTACGGCCAGGGAGCAGCCCTCCCTTTGGAAGGTGCGGTCACGCGCCTCCTCCCCCACGCTCTGTACACATCGCTGTTTTCACCAAGAACGTGTTGTTCACACGCTCCTGGAGACTTGCCTGTGTGTGCACGTGTCATGATTTGTGAACAGTCCCGTTCGTCTTTTCTGAACAGATGAAACGGAATACGAGTACAGCGGCAGTGAGGAGGAAGAGGAGGAGGTGCCCGAGCAGGAAGGAGAGCCGAGGTACGCCAGCCGCTGGTCCACAGAGCGACGCGGGCTCTCAGAGGACGCCCTTCTCCATAGCGGGCAGGATCTCACCTGACTCTGGAAGGGCCTTAGTAGCCTCCATTCTTCTCTATTTTTTGAAACATTTCTATAAGCATGTCCCCCTCTAGCTCTTTCCCACTGATCCTTTACCAAGATTGCATTGCTCCTCCCCATCCCCCGCCCCAGTCCTTAGGGAATGTGTGGGCTACGTGAGGTCCTGAGGAAGGGAGCCTGCCGCTGGCACCCCAGGCAAGAGGCCCTGCACGCACACAGTCCGCTCGGCCGGGAGGGCCGCCATGGAGAAACTGCACTTATACCCAAAACGTTTTTTTTGTTTTGCTCCCACAAATGTGGTGAGCAGCATTCCGTTTCCTTTATTAGGTATACTCTGTCCTGACCCATTTCGTAGCCCATGGTCCTCTCTGCCTCCCAATGTACAGGGAAGCAGAAGGATGAAGAGTTGGTTGTATGGACCTCGAGGAAACTAATTAGTCAAAGGATAGAGGAGTTTAAAATTGTAGTATTGGTCTTGCCTGGCTGATGCTGTAGCTACACATACTAACTAACCAACGGAACAAGGTGGGTAGGAGGGTGAAGGGCCTGAGGGCACCCGTGTGTACAGCTGGCAGCTTGATGGGAGCATAGCAGGAAATAGGAGAATTTGTTGAAAAAACTTCGTAATGTCCTTTTCTTCATACAGAGACTTGAATCCATTTGAGACTAAAACTTTTAGAGTAATTTGAATTGATGCCATGAGCAATGCAGTTGTTTTGGGGTAGGAGCAGCATCTAATGAAAGAGGCTGTGGAAGCAGATTCCTTTGCCATGTTACTCCAGTGTTTGGGAGTGGAGGGTGGAAGACCAGCTAGGAGGGGTGCTGCTCGGTCAGTGCTTAACGTCTGGGACTCCCTGGGGCTCCGCAGCTGACCCCGGATCCACAGGAGGTGCGAGGGAACACCCGGTGAGACTCGTGTGCAGATGACGCAAATGAAGGTGCTGAAGGTTACGTGGTATTTCTTGCCCAGCAGACCAGAGCATGACATGACTGTCACTGATAGGAAGTAAGGTGGTCAGACAGGGATGCTCCCAGCTTTTAATTTTAGAGTTGAGTTATGTGAGAGTCCTAAGGGAGATGTACCCAGGCCAGAGTTTTAAGATGTTTATGAGATGCATGAAAGCAGGTAAGTACTACTGAGTTGTACGTGTGGTTACTGCCGTGGACTTGTTGGAAGGCGGGTTAGGGTGACAGGAGCTGGAGCCGCTCCTCAGAGGCAGCGGCCACCTGAGCGCCCCTTCCTCCCGCAGCTCCATTGTGAACGTGCCTGGGGAGTCCACTCTGCGTCGCGATTTCCTGCGGCTGCAGCAGGAGAACAAGGAGCGCTCTGAGGCTCTTCGGAGACAACAGCTGCTTCAGGAGCAGCAGCTGCGGGAGCAGGAGGAGTATAAAAGGCAGCTGCTGGCCGAGAGGCAGAAACGGATTGAGCAGCAGAAGGAACAGCGGCGGCGGCTGGAAGAGGTAGAGAAAGGACATGTCCAAGTTGCTTTCTCTTTCTTTATTCACATTGGTCTCTAGACACTCACAGGGCATTGTCTGCAGCTCCCGAGGCTGCAGCCTGGCCAAGCTCTGCCGCCACGGGACGCAGGCCTTCACGTTCCTCGTGAAAACGCCAGGGGCCTGCCCTGCTGCTCCTCACACGGTGCCGGCCGGGCGTGTGGCGGCTCGCACTGGCTCTGAGAAGCCGCTCCCTGGGGTTCGGCTCAGGCTCCACCTGATTTCTTCTCTCTCTTGGCCTCTGGGTTCAAGTTTGCATGTACATATTTTTTCTGAAACCTCTGAGTTTTTCATATGAAAAACTTTTCTGCAAATGCCTTAACTTCAGGTACATTGAAGGCAAGGAATGAAGAAAAGAATCATGCTGTGTGCCATGCAAGCGCTGTTCTGTAACCTGGCTGCAAGCATGCGATTGGCCATGTCCTGTGGTGGGAAATATATTTTGTACCACCTGCTCATTTACCTCAGGGACACTGTTAACATTGGTAATGTGGTTACAGCTATTTCATTTTTAATTCACAGAAACATTGTTTTCCTATATTTCACTTGGGGTTCAAAAGTGGGTTTTGATTTTATTTTCCTAACTGGTTTTATTTTATATTTCACAGCTCCAGGTTTCTCATTCATAATATTTCTGTCCACTTCATTTACATACTTACTGTTTTACCTCTATCTTTCACTCCAGAAAAAGAATGCAAAACATATATAGATATAATATCAATACTGGGCTTTGCTCTATAAATAAAATAACAACACACGCTGTTACCCAAATTACTTCAGAATACATTTTGTAGGGGAAGACTTTGTTTCCTTTTCTGTGTTTCTAACCTGAATTCTGCAGACTTTAAATTCACCCCAACCTTAGAAAATCCGTGCCTGTCTGCCCGAGGGACTGGGAAGTTCATCCAGAGTGTGTGGAAGAGAACCTCAGACATAGCCTCCCTCTGCAGGAGGGACACTGTTCGCGGGACGCTCTTGGCGGTGTATTTGCGCTCGGGGGTATTTTTAAAGCTGTCCTCAATGCTCTTTGAAAGGGATGCAGTGGATCCGAGGCTGCGAGGCGCATGTTGAGCACAGGACTGTGGGGATGCTTGGGTTCTGAGGCTCTTTCTGGTTGTTGACCTGGAACCTGCAGCTGTTCACTGTCCTTTCTGACCGTGGGCTGTCCTTCCCTTTAGCACAAGAAACAGGTGGGTTGGGTGGTTTATAACTTAAGTGCGAAGGCAGCTCAGCCAGAGCTGGTTTGTGGCACAGGCCCGGGAGCTGCAGCTGGCCGAGCGGTGCTGGGTCCCGCTTCCTGCAGCCTCCGCAAGGAGCAGGACCTACGCAGGGACTTCTGCTCAAGGAGAACTTAGTGCTCACTGCTAATGTCATGGCGCCTTTAGTGTCAGCTCCTCAGTAAACGTTCACACTCAGAGTCGGGAAAGAGGGAACTGCATAGGGACACAGGCGAGTGTGGGCTCCTGGTGCGCAGGCTCTTGTGTTGGCCTGGGGAGTGAAGCCATTGGGAATATTTGAGCCATCAGTGGTTTGTCGCCCTGAATTGGCATTCAAAGTTCAATCAGAACTGTTTGCGGACTAGGGATGTCTTTTGTTATTAACAGACAAAGTAGATAAAGGTGATCGGCTCACTCATAAGACAAGTGACAATTAAAACTGAAGGGAATAACTTTCTACCTGTGAGTGCCGGAAAATAAAAAAGCCCAAAAGCTGAGATTATGGGAACACAGTGCAGCTGTCCTTTCTTTGAAATGGCCACAAGGTCAGGCCCATGATGGGGGTGGGGGTGAGGGCTTCTGCCAGCCCCCCTGTTCCTGACCCCCGGCAGGTGAGCATTCCTGCTCTGCCCACACACACTCCCTCCCCCTTCGGGGCTCGGGAAAGTGCTGCTGCCGCCCTCTTCCCCTCCGAGGTCCCGGCCTCCTCTCCCTGGCGCCTTTGTGAACTGAGGGTCTGAGAAGTCCTTAAAGATATGTTCCCGTCTTTCAGTTTTGCTGAAAGTGCGGTTTTTGTTTATGTTTTCCATTTTCTCTGTTGCTTTTGGCTGTCCCAGGAGGATGGGAGCTGAGGGCATGAGCGCATTAGTATGGGTTTCCCCATGATTCCCACTCGTGCCTCAGCGCCCGGCCGGCTCCCTCCTGGGACAGGGCTGCTCGGCTCACTGCGTGTGTCACTGGGGTCGAAGCCGTGGGCTACAGATCTCCTCTGTACAAAGTTCCCTGCCACACCTTACATTTCACAGCGACATACATCCTCCCAGCCTGGGCTCAGACAGAACTTGGTCTCTAGCTTTTTTCCCCCCAAAAATGGTTCGTGGGCTAGATTTTTCTCCCGTTCTATTCTCACTTGTTTTTAGAGCAAAAATGAAGACTATTTCATAGTATTGTCATTTTACCCTAATGGTTTGTGGTCTTGTTTTTATTGAATCTTGATTCGATACCTAAATTCTTCCTCCTTATTCCCATGGCATCCGGGTATTTGATAAGTATGTTTTCTCTTTTGTTTTTAATGTTTTTTTTAAATTATTATTATTGATTTTTACAGAGAGGGAGGAAGGGAGCAATAGAAACATTGATCAGCTGCCTCCTGCATGCCCCCACTTGGGATGGAGCCTGCAACCCAGGCATGTGCCCTGACCAGGAATTGAACCGTGACCTCTTGTGCACAGAGCAACGCTCAACCACCGAGCCACATGAACCGGGCTATTTTCTCATTCTTTGTCTAAGTTTAATACAGAATTTTAGACAGAAGTTTCTCTTTGAGAAAAGCCTGTCGGTAGTCCAGGTCAAAGTCACTGCCTTAATCGATGTACTTGGATAGGGCTCCTGTCTCCTAGTCTTTCTTTCTTCATTCTGACCTCCAGCGAGCTGTGCGTCACTAGTGAAAGCAAGACAGTGTGTCTGGTTTGCTGCGCTGCCTCTTTCCTTCTAGAAAGGAGTCCACGGTGCCGTGCCGCAGGGCCACATGCTGCTCCTTACTGAGTATAAATGACCTTTTTCAGTATAAATAGGAGTCAAAATCACACTTTTCCTCTGATGTAAGAACTTATCCTTTTCTTTAAAAATAAACCAAAAATGTGGGAAAAGCTCAATTCCCTGACTTCCAGCCCTGCCCTGCCCCGGCGTGTGCTCCTAGACCTCAGGAGTCGCTGTTGCATCCGGTCAGGACCACGCTGAGCAGCGCAGCCTTTTCCTGCTACTTGTTCCCCTTTCTGTTCTTTCTTTCTATTCTTCCTTTCTATTCTGTCTTTCCCTCCCTTCCTCCCCACCTCCCTTCCTTTCGTCTCTCTCTCCTAACCTGAAGATATTTTCCCTGTTGATTTTTAGAATGAAAGGGAGGGAGGGGGAAAGAAAAGAAACATGGATGTGAGAGACATTGGTTGCCTCCCACACAAATCCCATCAGGGCAGGGAACCTACAACACGCCCTTGACCAGGAATCAAACCCTTGACCATTCGGTGAGCGAGCCGAAGCTCTACCACTGAGCCACCCCTAGGGCCCCCTTTCTGTTCTTGAGCAAACACTGCTGGTGGGATGTCCAGGACCTGCCTGCCTCAGAGCATTTCTGCAGGTGTTTAAAAATGCCTTCCTGTCTCTATGACCTTCCCTTTCCAGCGTCGAGCGCAGAGGTGCCATCGCCACTCTGTGACTTGGGAGCTGCTTGCCCCTGGGGGCAGGGTGTCTGTGCTGTGCCTTTCCTTCCACCCAGGGACACTTCGTCTCTGTCATTCCACAAATTCCAAAGTGACTAACGTCTTAGAGAGGGGGTGGAAATGGAAGAAATGAAAAACAAAGGAAGACAAGAGGAAACTGTATGTGACATGGGATTAGTACTAAAGCTAAAAGGAAACACAGGAAAACATGTAAGTTTCTAAGAAAACAGTTAATAAACTGTGATGCGTTTGCTGTGTGTCTTGGCTCTGCGATCTTGGAAGGCGGGTGAACGTCGCCCCAACAGTGTTCCTGTGTGTGCTGGTGAGATAGCCATTCCTCCCCTCTGCTCGAAGGCGTTGCTCGCGGCGGCGGCCGGGTGACCGCCTGCACAGCGCAGCTCTCTGGTCTTAGGACACCTGTGAGTTCTTAAGTCTAGTGTTCGGCCATGTTGACAGTTATATTTTGTAAGAGTTAGTTTCACATGGCAAACGCTACTTGTTGCCTAAAGACGGGAAGAGTGGCTTTGTCAGAGGCCCCACTTGGAAAAGCCCAGGTCTGGCGGCACCTGTGCCCGGCCCCGTGACCACGGAGTTCTTGGAAGTGGTGGACTCCGGAGCAGAGTCTGGTTCTGCTGCAGCCGGGAGCCCAGTGCTGTGTATTTAAGTGGGCCTCACTGTTACCAGTGCACATAGTTAGAAAAGTCTTCAAAATGTGAGGTCAAAGCATTGCTTTTTAAATAGCAAACAAGAAAGGGAACTTACGATCATCAAAGCATATTGACTCAGGCACGCTTGGAAAAATTTAAGTAGTAAGGAAATCTCTTCATAATTTTAGAGATTTAATTATGCAGTTTCACAGCATCACGCAGTTTCTCAGTTTGTTCGATTTGTTTCTAAAGAATTACTTAAGAAAACAATAATGACCGCAGTTTGCTTTGAAGCATTATGTTGTTTATTATTCTCAGCAGGTGGACCTGAAAAGGCATGTTTCTTAGATTCCCCTGGATTTTGTTACTTGAAATCTCAGCATAAGGTTATCTGGGATGGGAGGCTGTTGCTTAGTGGATGTTTTATTTTTGGTTATTTTCTTGCAAGAGGACAGCTCTCACATTAATCATGTATAAGAAGGTACTTACTAAAGCTTTTCTTTAACTTTTAATTACCCCCTCCCCCAGTTGAGGGCCTATTCTGACTGGTGATTTTTACAGTTTCCAGTACTAGAACGTAATGTGGGAGAGGTGTCGGGACTGCTTGTGCACGGCCTTTGCCGCAGCCGCCCAACCAGGCCCTGCTTAGTGGGCTGGTCCTGGGA